GCCTATTAGACTTTTACCCCTTTTTGGTAAACCTATAGAATCCCTAATCAATGCTGAATTGGTTAAGCATCTCATATCGCAGTGCATTTTTGCTGACAAGCAATATAGCTTTCGTTTTTCTAGGTCAACTGCTGATGTACTGACGATAATCACGGAAAGAATCTATTAAGCTTTAGATAAGAATAGTAAAGCTTGGGCTGTAGCTTTGGACATCTCGAACTGATCCATTCTTTTTTATCAAATCGCGAAATGAAAGTTATCCTGAACGGACACTTTTCTAGACCCTTTTGTACTAATACAGGTGTGTCCCAGGGCTCTATTCTTGGCCCTACTTGTTTTTGATTTTATTTAATGACCTTTCCGATGGCATCAGCTCTCAACTTGTTATCTATGCTTATGATACAACCATTTACTCTTGTCTCGATGGTAAATCTGATCATTTTGATAAGGTCAAATTGGCGGCTGATTTCAAAAACGTCTGTTGGAGAGTAACTTGTTGCACCTTCTCAAGTTAACAGTCTCAGCTGATATGGTAGTGGAAAGACTTTTAATTTGTGAATTATCGATATTAGATTTGATTTCAAGATATTCAAATGTTACAACACGCAAAAACAGGAAGCTCAAGCAGAAATATAAAATGAAATTATTAAATGAAATTCTACCCATCAAGGAAATACGTAAACAGAAACTGCAATTAAAGGCACAGAAAACAAGACAATATGAAAAGCGTTGTAGATTCTATCGACGAAATGAAAATATTCCAAACAGACATTAAGAAATTTTACATGGAAATTGGAAAAGTATTTATAGAAGTCAAAAAGCCACGATCTCTTGAAGAAGTGCAAAAAAATTTTTGGAGAATATTTGGAGCAGTCCAAAGGAATGCAGAATGGATCAAATGAGAAAAATAAAAAAAATGGAAAAATATAACCAAGAACAATGTTAATAAGGGACATCATTGCAGCAATTATTTGCATTAATTACTTTCGGACTAATGTCTTCATCTATGTTATCACAACAATTCGGCCATGACAGATAGGGATTAAGAATATTAAGTTTAAGTCTTCAAGATTCAGGATTATCCGAGTGGGTTAAAGCTTTGGTGTGTTAGTAACCGTGAGTTCAGTCCCGTGGCTAAGTAGGACACTAAACTATATCCGGCAGCAAGGCCTCTGACCCAAGGTGGTAGCACCCGTTAGGGTCCCAGGTATGGGCAAATAGTGAACACCCAAACTGCGGTCAAAACGTGAAAATATAAAAATACATTGGAAAAAATTTACCAGCAATACATTTTCATAGAATAAAAATTAGCAATACACTGTTGGGGAAAAAGAAAATACCAAAGCTCACAATAATATAAAATTTCGGCATTACATGACCCATAAGGTGCTGATATGCCGTTAAACAAACCAAAGCAAAAACTAAGTAGTATGGATTACAACTCTGATCAGAACCACCCTCCCGCAAAAAAAAACAAAAACAAAAAACCCCCAAAAAAACAAAAACAAAAAAAAACAAAAAACAAAACAAAAGACAAAAACTTAGACAGTGGAAGAAGAACAATATTTCTACGTAGATTAAATAAAGTGTTTTGTTTGAAATTCCCCGAAAGCTTACCTGGATCGACAGACACCTTAACAAGGTTAGGATAATAGCAACTAACATTTGTTTGAATATAAATAGTGCAAATAAGGACGGATTTCGATCCAGTGGAAAGCGGGCGGAGAGCAACTGTCAGTAGTAGTCATATTATGTTTATGACACCAAGTTTGGCCACCCCAGGTATATAAATAGGTTGTATGATAATTGTAGAATAGCTCTTAGTAACAGTATTTACATTAGTCGGACTATTGTCCTCATCTTTGTCGCCATATTTGTCACAACGTTTCGGCCGTTGTACGCTCCGGCCTTCTTCAGGTGGTTGGAATTTCGAACTGAACCCTTTATTTCGATCACTGTGGTAGACTGTTCTAGTTCCACGTGCCATGTTTTGATGGATGTCAGTTATCAGTTATCTCCTGCTAATCTTCCCTCTGAAAATTCCAACCACCTGAAGAAGGCCGGAGCGTATAACGGCCGAAACGTTGTGACAAATATGGCGACAAAGATGAGGACAATAGTCCGACTAATGTAAATACTGTACATAATACCTCATCTCAGAAATATAGACAGCGCTCTTAGTAAACCCGTCTCATTATCGCCAAATTGGCCTGGGTCGAACTTGACTAAACCCAACAATATTAAACTTACAGAATTTACCCGGAAGTAGTTGCATTTTCCAAATCAGCAGCAGTAATAATAACACATTTAATATTTTAATTACCTTTAATTATTATTATATATTATTATTATTAATATTAATATTTTAATTACCTTTAATTATTATTATTAATATTAATATTTTAATTACCTTTAATTATTATTAAATATTATTAATATTAATATTTTAATTACCTTTAATTATTATTAAATATTATTATTATTATTAATATTTTAATTACCTTTAACTATTATTAAATATTATTAATATTAATATTTTAATTACCTTTAATTATTATTAAATATTATTATTATTAATATTAATATTTTAATTACCTTTAATTATTATTATTAATATTAATATTTTAATTACCTTTAATTATTATTAAATATTATTAATATTAATATTTTAATTACCTTTAATTATTATTAAAATTATTATTATTATTAATATTTTAATTACCTTTAACTATTATTAAATATTATTAATATTAATATTTTAATTACCTTTAATTATTATTAAATATTATTATTATTAATATTAATATTTTAATTACCTTTTAATTATTATTAAATATTATTATTATTAATATTAATAATTATTTTTAATCTTTAAATAATATCCGTTTTTGTTTCTGTTTTTAAGCACCATTATTATCATTACTTACACTGTTATTATGAATCTATCATCAGTTTCCTTTTTTTAAGTCAGCATTAGTATTAATGTTGTGATTACTTTTGTTATTGTCGGAGCAAATCCTCCATCAAGTGACCAGAATTTTGATAAGCTCTGATCAGTGTTTTAAAACTCAAAGGCGAAAGGAGGAATGCAAATTACTTAGAAACATACGTACGTACATAACTAGCTACCCAACCACACTACCAAGCTCGTCCCTAACTCCAAACAAATAGAGGCATTAAATTTTCTAAAATAAAAAATAATAAAAAGACAAACTTCACCACTGCTACGAATTGGGACAGGAGTATGAATTCCCTTGAAATAAATTTGTGTAAACATCAGTCGCACAAAGTCTTACTCAAAAAAGAAATAATTAAAGATTAATACGCAAAGCATGGAAGACGAAAAACTAACCTAAAGAAGAAAGTTTCAATCCGAAAAACTTTATTCGCGCTTTATGTTTAAAAAAAGCATAAATAAAACAGTGAATAAAATGCAGATAAAACATTAAGGTTGACAAGATGTGAAGTTTTTAATAAGTAAAGAAAAAAAAAAGAAAATAATTGATATTCAGTTGACGACTCCATTTTGTTTTTTTCTTTCGTGCGTTGTTTTTCATTTGAATTTATTTTTTCTTTAAATTTTATTTTTGTGAATTCTGATTTCCTGCTTTTTTGTTTACCCCAAATCTTGACAAGCTCATTAGAAGAATTATTTCATTCTTTATTTTTCTCTCTATCTTTTATTTACTCGCTTGATTACCATTAACATCCGTAAAACTAATTCTTTACTTTTTGGCTTTCGTAAATCTTTTACTTTTTATTCTTCCTCTTCAGTTTCAACATTTTTCTTCTTTAACGTTTTTCCTTTTTTTTTTCTCTATTACTTCTTCCTGCATTCAGTTCCCTTTTCTCATAACTGTCTTTTACTTTTTTTTATTTTTTGGCATTACTTTTTCTAATGTTGAATATTTCAATAATGCCTGCCTAAATTTAGTTGCAACTATATTGTTTATTGGATGTGCAAGTAGTATAATAGTTAGCGGCTTACATTCAGCTTTGCACAAATACCTTTGAGAAAGAAATTAATCTACCTCTTCTCCACCAAGCTATAGATTAAATAGCAGTGTAGACTAGGCTCTTTAGCCGTGGCTGGCAACCAGTACGACTCTGAATTCAAAAGATAGCCATCTTAAGTTGAATGAAGATGGCTAGATATGGGGTCTGTAAAACAAAACCACAATAGATTTCAACAGCGGCGTTCATTAAGAATTCGTCAATGGCTGCATGGAATGCGCTATGTCAAGACGAAATACGGTTTTGAATTCAGAGATTTCCTTCTAGTTTTGTTGAAAACCACAACTAGGGAGCCCCGTCTGCACTCCGATTTAACCCATAGATGTGGAGAAAAGAGACTCATACCTTTTCCCTAAGAATATTTGCGCGAAAGTTGCACTCCGATTTAACCCATAGATGTGGAGAAAAGAGACTCATACCTTTTCCCTAAGAATATTTGCGCGAAAGTTAATATAACGAACTCGGCTAAGGTTCGAACCGAACTCGCAGATTTTGCGTTCGAAACGGCTAACCAATACATTACCTGTATGTCCTTAGAACCTGGTTAGTGAAGATAAATATGAGAAAATGGATTACTCATTAATTTAATCCCCCGAGAGAGCGATCATTCAGCATTGGGCCCAAGAGAGGTGCCATATTGTTTATTAGTCGATATTAGTAAATAAGCGATTTTCCTTTTATTAATTCATTAAAACCCGCCAATTTTTGGAAGGGTGAATTGATTGATTGATTTTTATGGGTTATCAGCCATTTACAGGATATTTAAAATCAGAATATATTTTAAGATTGTAAGAATTTGGTGGGGGGATAATAATGATTTACTAATACATGTCCTACTAATTAACCCATAGCTGGAGAGAGAAAAGACGGATTCATGCCTTTCTCAACGGTATTTACACGTAAGTGAATATAACGGACACGACTGGAATTGGAACTCACGAAGTCGATTATCCATTATCCATTACACCACCCGCACACTCAAGCTTATAGTATTCCCAAACGATCCTCTATCTAGGTACTGACCAGGCTCGATCTTGCTTAACTTCGGTGATTGTATGAGAACTGGTGTTTCAACGTAATATGGCTGTCTGTCCTGCAAGGTGAAAATTAATTGTTTATGAGGAGAAATTTACAGGCGCTCCATAATTTCGGCCTTATGCCACATCTAAGCTACGCTTAGAAAATAACCAGGGCACCTCGAGGGGGTGTAATGGTTAGCAAGTTTGTCTCACTAAAACGAATGAGTAGTGAGTTCGATCCTCACTGGGTGCCCCTTACTTTCGGCCTTGTTCCACATCTAAGCTACGCTTGGAAAATCACTATAAGAAGAAATATATAATTAATACTAGATTTCTATTGTTTATTTATTTTTTTAATATAATAGCCATGATCTATGGCTGTAGATACTGGAATTATTATGCCGACTAAGTTGCGTTTACTTTCACAAAAATACCCTTGGAAGAGTTTAGTCAGTTATGCGGGATATGCGCTTAGGCGATCATGTATCTTTCGATACATGACTGACGAGGCATATTTTTTCCCACCGTAGGTTGCCATTTCTTTCGAAGGCTATAGAACCCGGTCTGTTCTGCTATTTACCCATAGCTGGGGGTGGGGACGAAGATTTATATCTTTCCCAAGGGTATTAGCACGTAAGTTAATGTAATGGATTCGACTGGAATTCGAATTCGGCTCTCCGATTACCAAGCAGCTATCCATTACTAAACCGTGCCTCCTTGGGGTAGATATGAATTCATTATTTCTCCCCCACTCATCTATGGGTTATATCGCAGGGCAGGGTGGGACTTTTGATATTTGTTGGTAACCAATTCAGGAGTAAGACAATTCTGTATTCAAAACCGGTTGGGTGTGCATCTAGCAACTTCATTCCTTCTTGCTACGTAAACTATAGCAGTAACACTGAGCGTGGTGAGGTTATGTCACTAGTGTGGTAGGAGCACATCAACGTTGTATAATGGTTAGCAAGCTTATCTCGCTAGATCAATTACGACTCAGTAGTGAGTTCGATCCTCACTGAGTGCTCCACAGTTTCGGCCTTGTGTCACATCTAAACTGCGCTTAGAAAATCATTTGGGCACATTGATGTGGTGTAATGGTTAGCAAGCTTATCTCGTTAAATCAATTACGACCGAGCAGTGAGTTCGATTCTCACTGGATGCTCGATACTTTCGGCCTTGTGTCATATCTAAACTACACTTAGAAAATCATTTGGGCACCCCGACCTGGCGTAATCTTTAGTATGCTTCTCTTGTTGGATCAATTATGACTGATTAGTGAGTTCGATCCTCACTGGGTGCCGCATCTAAGCCACGCTTAATAAATCGCCATGTCCCTAACGTGGTAAGCCTGTGGCTTTACTGGGAGTCAAATGCTAATAAGGAGGATTTTTATTTTAGTTTTTTTCAAATTAATATGTGATGTGTCGGATGTTTAATATAAGTTAATAGTTAGACTGGATGCTCTTGCTTACATGCATAAATGAAACACTTTCAGAAAAAAAATTATAGATTGATTTCTAAGAATGCAACAAACACCTTTTACGCTTTCTATTATTTTTTACTAGCAGCATGGCCCGGTGTTGCCCGTGCTTGATTCAAAAATCGTACAACTCATACAGCAATCGTTATCACTTGACTTAAAATATTTTTGCCCTTCCTTGCCTTTAAAGGAGTGCCCTTTGCCGTGCTGATGTTGCTACATGCCTTACTTCTTGCCTATCTCACACTGCGAATTTTTTCTAAGCTCTATACTAAACATTGAATCTGTTACGAAAAAAAGAACTAAACAAAATGAACACAAAACGATCAGCTTTAAAAAGGACTCGTAACTGGAAAACCGAATGAAAAAGAATGTTAACAACAAATACTTTTTTCATACCCAACCCAGTTCTGCGGAATCAGAATCAACGTTGAGTTTAAGCAAGCGAATGAGCCAATTGGAGGAAAAGTGCCATGCAGATTTAAATTTTTCCCACTTGTGGCGAATGCAGCTATCGATTTTTTTTTTGCATGCTAGCATGCTAGTTAACATTCGTGTCAGTCAGCTGTTGGCTATCACGCTGGCCAATAGAATCTTCCTGCCTATTCGTGGCAGCCAGCTGTAGGCTCTCATTCTGACTAGTAGAAAATGGCCGCAAACTACATGAAAACTGCCGTAGCATGAAAAAAATCGATTATTTCCACTATCGATGGGAGTTGGGAAATGCAAAGTCGGTTATGGCCTTTCGGCTAACTTGGAGCATGTGCATGTAAATTTTGGTGCAAATCCGTCGAAAATTGCGGCCGTGCATTCGTTACACATACACAAGCATCCTGCCTTTTACAGATATAGATACAAATCACAAAGAATATTATATTTTCTAAACAATAACGCCTTTATTGATTGACTATATGTGTTTTAAATTGATGCTCTAAACCTTTCCGAGTTACTTTAGTTTAAGGAAGTCTTTTGTATAAGGAAGCAGTTGGGAAAGCAAATCAATTAATGATACAAATAGTCTGTTTTAGTGTCGGGAAAGAATAAGACATTTTCCTAATATGTTTAGTAAGAATAAGAATATATAGATGCCTCTGCCAAAAGACTTGTGCGATCGATAAGTACTTTTCTATGAATATATTTACACTTATATTTTTATCTTAACAAGTTTTTTTTTTACCAAATATATAGATCGGAAAGTTCTCTCCGCTTATCCTCAAGGAAAATGGGGACGCTGACTAATTTTGTTTTTACATTTCGTGTGATAAGAGTTACTTGTAAAAGATAGGATCGTAAGTACTCTTTAAATATTCATTGCACTGGCTGGTCAGTTAACTTAGAAAAAGCGCATCAGCGAGTGTAAGCTTTGACAAGTAATTTCATCCTTTTGCGTGCAATTCATCGTTGTTCATGCGTTTTAGAACCAATACGTTTGTATTTTTGGTTATCTTGTTGGTTCACTGTGTCGTACTAGACAGTTTTTTCTCGCCAGAATGTATCTTACATATTCATAACTAAATCATTCATCCTTGCGTTGAATATTGCGGCCACATCTGGTTTGGTGATCCTGCTAGATATTTAGAGATTCTAGAAATAATCCAAAAATAATTTTCAATGTCATCAGTCCTGACCTGGCATTTCAGCTTCAGTCACTTTCCCACCGACGTAACGTAGTTTCTTTGTGCCCTTTCTAGAAATACTTTTATGATAATTGTTCGGATGAACTTTCTTCACATTTGGGTTAGATTTTTTTTCAAAATTGTGGTTTTTTGTCCCCCTCACATGGGGACTAGTTAGTACTTCATACATATGGGGACTAGTTAGTACTTCATAGAGACTGTGTGGCATTATGGTGACTGTAGTAAGAATGGTAAGTAAGAATGTGTTGTTTTGGTTTAAGGAATACTGTGGTATGTTTGGACCAGTAATTGTGGTTAGCTAACTTTAAAATAAGACAGAAGACTGGCCTTAACCTATCCCCCTTTTTGGCCTTGTGCCACAATTTTTTTATCAAAATAAATATGGTATCTAGACTTTATGAATTTAATCTCAATACTAGATTAGCGTCAAGGACTCGTTATTTTACAGTTGAGTTGGCTAGATGTAACCGTAAGATTTATGCTAAAATTTTCTTCTATTGCCCTTCTTGCTTGTGGAACTCTCTTCTGGTTTCTTGCTTCCGAGTTAACTTTGATCTTCAAAAAATTAAATGCAATTTCAACCGTTATATTCTGTTTTCTTATTTCCTGTTCTTTTATTGTGTTCTTTCCTTGATAGTGTTTTTCTCATATTCTCTAAAACTCAGTAACCCCTTGTATGTTTTATTGCCTTGAGGTGAAATTTTGTACCCTTAAAACTGTCAATCCTGTAAGTTTTTCATAACAACTGAATTCCTAATTATTCCATTATTTTGTATAAATGTATTTACATATACATATATCAACACGCGTTCACCCGCTTGAATTATATATGTACAATATGTATATTTACATTACAATATATACATTACGATATATATATATATATATATATATATATATATATATATATATATATATATATATTCTGTGTTTACATGAAAAATTGCAAATCATCAGATTCTTTGATATGAATGCTTTATTAAAGCAAAGAGCCGAGTTAACGGTAAATTGTAAACACAGTCTACCTTTACCTTACAATTCAGTTAGATTTGGAATTTGACAATGCTTTTTTTAGATTTTAATTGAACTGTGTTGCACCACATATGGCTTATCTTTCTATTGGTGAGATTAATTTGGATTTTAATATAATTTTGTATTATTCTTCTGGTAGCGTTAATAGTATCTTGTACGGATGTATTGGTATTTGGTTGGTATTTTGAGATTTTGCATTGATTGGTTATTGTTATTAACACCTTATATAAAGAATCTTTAGTCAACAGTTGAATATTAATTTACCGAGTAAGTCTATACGTTTCAATTATTTACCGGTCTCTTAAAGAAGCTATTTAATTATCAACTATAATTACGTTTTTATGTAGGAAATGCACAAAGCATATAACTTGTTTAATATTTTGTTAAATTACCGCTCCATTTTTTCTTAGGAAATGACATTGTTTAATGTATAATATGCATCCATTTACATCCAGTCCTGCTTAACGTCTGTTGCTGCTATTGATTTCAAATCTACAGGTCATGATCGATTTATGAAAAATAATTTCTTAATTTTTGCTTCTTCCCTGAGTTTAAATTCAACGTAGGTCATATTCGATTGGTTGCTCTGAGTAAAGCCTGCAAACCTTGTAACCACCCCAACTTTTTTTCTTTTTTTTCCGTAAAAACTTATTATCAATAAATTATTTTATATACTGTGTGTTTTGAAACATCAGCTTAGAATTTATATTTTCAAATTCAACTTTCGAAAACGACAGCTGGGTGGATTCGAATACTGACCAGGCGCCAATTCAGCGCCAAGATTCTTATAAGACCTTTTAATGTTAGAAAAATTGCCAGCTCGCATATACCACCCCAGAAAGTACGTGAATCCAGCTACTTTGTTCTATATTTAAATAAGCCCGATCAGACCAAATATAGGAGTAGATATCGCCCGGTTC